ACGCATTTAACACACCTTTCGAATCAAACTTATTTCAGTTTGCCTCACAAAAACTAGGATTCACGCCATCTCCTTTAAACATGCTGCAAGTTGACAGAATCCAAAAGTGCCTCTCGCGCTATATGAACCCAGCTGTCGACATCCTCTTGCATTTCCCATTTCTTCCCACAGAACCTATCACATTCACTGCACCAGGTTTTTTCTTTTCTGTCATTGGTGGGGCAGGATGAGTGGAAAGAGGAAGATTTCCCCCCCTTTTCATTCCAAACACTACAATTCATCTACTCTTGTGTGTGTGTAAATACATGTATGTATTTCTGCCCTCAGGCCATTCGATCTTCCTGCTAGTGCTGAGCACTGTCATAAACACTTGTGTTCCACTGGCATCCAGGCAACCAAAACCCTCTCCTAAGTGTGGCGGGGTCCCTGTAGCTGATGGCCTCGCTTGGTGGTGGGTAAAGAATCTTTATTAGCTCCCATTTGCAGTTTCTTAGCACAGAGCTGGTGTATGCTCTATGGTGCCTCATAATTAGCCAAAAGGAGTCGCTTCTGCAAAGACTCACTTTGTAACCTGCCCCTGACTGTCAATGTGTATAAATATTAAATGCTAAAGGCACCATTAAAATAACATTACGTTTCTGGCTGAAGCACTGACAGCTGTGCTATCTGAAGTTGAGATCAGGCAGCTGCCTGTGTGTTCATTTTTCTGGGTACTTATTTCTAAGAGTTTCCTGAATTCCAGGCATCTTTCACCCACCTGACTGTCAGGTAGAGATGGAAATGAGACAGAAGGCCACCTTTGATGACAATGCCATTTTTCTGAGTTTTCACACACCGGGCACATGTCGAAATTTTATCTGCTCATTGTGAGGCAGTCCGTCTGACCTCACCTTCCTTGCTGAAAAGACTGCCTTTTGGTGGGTGGCCGTGCAACAAATACAAACAAGCTCCTGGTACTGGCTGGGAGGCCACGGAGGCCACGGGAGCGGGCACCCGAGGGCTGGGAGCAGCGCCCACCTGACCTGCTGCCAGCCGTGCAGGGCCCAGGGGAAGTGTGCACAGTCCAAAGCCTGCACAAGCTGCAGGACCCCAGACTTTTCACATAAACCAGGGTTTGGGAAACATTCTGGGCAAAGCCCAACAGTAACTCTTCCACCTGGTTAGCAAAGATGAGAAGCAAATTACGGGCATCACACATACTGGCTTTACTCATTTGCTAAATAAAATATTTCTACTTTTCAGCCCTAGAAACACTAACTGGGCCATCCTCAGGAGAGAGTGGGTCACATGACCACAGCTATCTTGGGCAGCTAGCAGACTGGACAACCAGGGCCTCAGGGTCACAGGAGGCTGGGGATCCTGGGATGCCGTCTGCAGGTGAGCTGTGGCCGACAGCTGGGAGGCTGTGAGCCCTGTCCTGGGTGAGGGGAGGAGGTTTCCATCACAGAACTGGGTCCTGTCAGGGAACCCCGCTGCTAGTTAGGGAGCCAGTGTACAATTACCAGGAGGTTGCTCATGATGATAAACCATCTTTGAGTTTCTGTTTCCAAAAAATAGGGCTGCTTCATGGCAGCAACCTCCTAACCCCATGATGAAGGGCTAAGGCATGGAAATCTCAGAAGCGCTGCTGGGACTCCTGGAGAAAGGTGCAGTGCAGGGGGTAAGGGGCGAAAATAACGGGCAACGATGCCAGCGAAAGACAGGTGGAGAGTGAGGGATTAGTAATAAATTAGACATAAGTGGGAGATTTTTTTTAGAAATCAGTGCGTTCTCCCAACAGGACGATTCTTCCTGCCTGTCAATCTTAGCAGTCAGTCTCTCAGTCTTTTCTCCCCCATCTCTTGGTCACGTGACCATGAGTGAACCCTGTGTTCTGTCGGCGGGAACACCAGCAACCAGCAGCTCCAGAGCCCTTCTGCTCTGCTGCAGCACCCTCTGGCTCAGTTTCTAAAACCCAAGGCCTTATTGGGTTCTTCTGTTAAATTTAGTAAAAACTAATTGTAACACGTATTTTTTTTTTAAAAAAAGCACACTATAAAAATCAGATGCTCAATGTAATTAGTCGTTAGGGAAATGCAAATCAAATCCACAGGGAGATATCACTTTACATCTACTAGGACAATAACAAATGTTGGCAAGGATGCAGAGAAATTGGAAAACCCTCATACAATGCTGATGGGAATGTAAAGTGGTTTCAGCCAGTTTGGAAAACAGTCTGGCAGTTTCTCAAAATGTTAAACATGCAATTACTGTTAGATAAGTGGACAGCCGGACATAAAAGGGAGAGGGAGTGGGGCTTCAGCCAGTGTTTACATCTAGCTAGATGCTTGCTTACATTGTACACATTCTGTGTAAGCTGTTCTCATGGGATGTGGTGAGAATATAGGTAAAAGACTGGCCAACACCGGTTAGTTCCAACATAGAGGAGAAACTGACCCAAACTTCACCCCAAAATCCATAAAAAAAAAAATCATGCCCCTGTTATTAACATAGTAAAAATCATACCTCTGTATGTGCCAGCTCCAATGGAGACCTAGTATAGCCAAAAGTCCCTACGCCCAATGTGAGGGTGGAGCAAGCGCGAACTCCGATAAACCTCCACCTGTTCCCTCTGAAACCTAAGCCCACTTGGTGATTATTCATCTCCCTTGATATAAAAAAGCCTCCCTATTGTCTCCTCAGTGTGACCTCCCTCTGGGTCTGCCCTCCCTGTTGGGGCACACACTCATCTTTTTCTGAACTTTTATTTTCCAAATAAACTTTCAATGTTCAGCCTCTTTGTGTGTCTGTCCTTGAATTCTTTCTCACAACAAGACCAAGAACCTGTCTCCTGTAATATTATCATATGACCCAGAAATTCCACTCCTAAAGGTATATACCCAAGAAATTTGAAAACATATGCTCAAAAACTTGTATTCATAATACCCAAATGTCCATTCATTGATGGACAAAAATGTGATATATAGGTACAATGGGATATTCTCTACCCATAAAAAGGAATGAAATACCGATGAAACATAGATGGACTTTGAAAACCTTATGCTCACTGAAAGAAGCCAGACACGAAAGGCCACATATTGTCCGAGTCCGTTCTTATTAAATGTCCAGAAGAGGCAAATCCATAGAGACAACAAGTAGATTAGTGGCTACCTAGGGGAGAGGTTAGGGGGAGTGACTGCTAATGAGGGCAGGGCTTGTGTTTTGGGGTGATGAAAATGTTCCTTCATTAGTGCTGATGGTTATACAACTTTGTGAATATACTAAAACCAATGAAATGTACAGTCCATAAAAAAACTATTAAATAGTATGTCATAACCTCTTACTTTTTAAAAATCTTTACTTCTTTAACTTCATGTCTACCCATCCCATCAATTCATCTTTCTGATGATATATAAGCATGGAAAGATGCCTGGGGTGATGTTCACCCAAATGAATGGTAGTTATTTTCAAGGTGGCAGAATTCTAAAATATTTACATTTTTATGCATTAAATTCTTTATAATTAACAAATACCATTTTTTTCCCCACCAGAAAGTCAACAAGTGATTTTCTTAAAAAGAGAAAATGAAGTAGAAAAATAAAAAAAGCAAAATCCCAAGGCAATGATATATAAGGGAGATTTCCCTATGCAGCACGCATTTAACACACCTTTCGAATCAAACTTATTTCAGTTTGCCTCACAAAAACTAGGATTCACGCCATCTCCTTTAAACATGCTGCAAGTTGACAGAATCCAAAAGTGCCTCTCGCGCTATATGAACCCAGCTGTCGACATCCTCTTGCATTTCCCATTTCTTCCCACAGAACCTATCACATTCACTGCACCAGGTTTTTTCTTTTCTGTCATTGGTGGGGCAGGATGAGTGGAAAGAGGAAGATTTCCCCCCCTTTTCATTCCAAACACTACAATTCATCTACTCTTGTGTGTGTGTAAATACATGTATGTATTTCTGCCCTCAGGCCATTCGATCTTCCTGCTAGTGCTGAGCACTGTCATAAACACTTGTGTTCCACTGGCATCCAGGCAACCAAAACCCTCTCCTAAGTGTGGCGGGGTCCCTGTAGCTGATGGCCTCGCTTGGTGGTGGGTAAAGAATCTTTATTAGCTCCCATTTGCAGTTTCTCAGCACAGAGCTGGTGTATGCTCTATGGTGCCTCATAATTAGCCAAAAGGAGTCGCTTCTGCAAAGACTCACTTTGTAACCTGCCCCTGACTGTCAATGTGTATAAATATTAAATGCTAAAGGCACCATTAAAATAACATTACGTTTCTGGCTGAAGCACTGACAGCTGTGCTATCTGAAGTTGAGATCAGGCAGCTGCCTGTGTGTTCATTTTTCTGGGTACTTATTTCTAAGAGTTTCCTGAATTCCAGGCATCTTTCACCCACCTGACTGTCAGGTAGAGATGGAAATGAGACAGAAGGCCACCTTTGATGACAATGCCATTTTTCTGAGTTTTCACACACTGGGCACATGTCGAAATTTTATCTGCTCATTGTGAGGCAGTCCGTCTGACCTCACCTTCCTTGCTGAAAAGACTGCCTTTTGGTGGGTGGCCGTGCAACAAATACAAACAAGCTCCTGGTACTGGCTGGGAGGCCACGGAGGCCACGGGAGCGGGCACCCGAGGGCTGGGAGCAGCGCCCACCTGACCTGCTGCCAGCCGTGCAGGGCCCAGGGGAAGTGTGCACAGTCCAAAGCCTGCACAAGCTGCAGGACCCCAGACTTTTCACATAAACCAGGGTTTGGGAAACATTCTGGGCAAAGCCCAACAGTAACTCTTCCACCTGGTTAGCAAAGATGAGAAGCAAATTACGGGCATCACACATACTGGCTTTACTCATTTGCTAAATAAAATATTTCTACTTTTCAGTATAAAAATAGCACTTACAAGCACTTAATACTTCAATTATGAAATTTAGTTGGCGATGGCATTTGAGTTTTACATAAAATATTAGGTGAGCAGAGCAGTCAGAAGATTTAGGTAACACAGACATACCTGTTTAGCTGCGGCTGAAGAAATTGCTTTCCTGTCCAGCAGGTTGAGAAGCTCAGCCAGTGCCGATGGCGTGACAGGGCTAGCGGGCCCCCAGAAGAGAGAAAACATATTTACATCCCACGTGTCAGTGTATCCACTGACGGTCACGCAGAATCAAGGCACTTGATTTCATAGGAAACCCACACCCAGGACTGAAAACAACAGGCCAATGGGCTTTATTTATTTATTTGTATTTTAGGATATAACAAGTTTTGGGGATTAGTGTTGTTTTTCTTTATTCTTCCACCCAACAACAACAGCTGTTTGGCAGAAGTTGTAGCAACAGACAACTGCTCAGTTTAATTAGTCAAAAAAAAGGAGGTGGCTGCAAAATTCATGAGCCATGACGAGAAAAGAAAAAACCCAGTAATTAAATATTTTTGACTAAAAGATTAGTCTAAAAATTACTTCAAAGAAAACAGCAAACAAAGCCACTTTTATGAATACTTTTGTGCAAATATAAATTCTTTTTAATTGTACAAGCTTTTCTGTAAGGGAACGCAATGACCACCAACCATGTCGTTAGCCATCCTCATGTCTCTGCATACTCTGTTCTCTTCTGTGGCTCACAGCAGCTTTCTGGGCCCCGAAGGGCCCAGAATCCACTGTATCTATACTTCTGGGACATAACTTATTTGCTAAGATCTCATGATATAAGTGGCCATGTCATTAATTCACATTTGTGGGTAGGAGTGGGGGGTGAGGGCCTAGATTAGTGAAAAGACAAGAATGACAGACTCTTTCTTTGAAAATACATGGTTTTGCTACTTTTAAATACATACAGCAACTAGGCCAATGAAGTGCTATCTGAAGTCATTAGGGGACTAGTTTTAAATAGACAGGATGACTTATAAATAGCACATTAGTGTGTCTGTGTAAATGAAAGCTTCTGAAATGCTTAACACCACTTGAAAATACCTTCTATTTAAGTTTCAGTTCCCATCATTCACTATCAATTTATTTGTAAGCTTTAGAGAATAAAAAGGAAACTACTGCTTAGCCCCTAAACCAATTTCCTGAATTCCAAACCAACTGAATGCAAGTTCACCAGCTCTAACTGTACTGATTCAAGTACAGTGAGATCTCAGTAGGGTTGTTCATTCAACACACTGAGGCAGCCCATCATCCTTAAAGTGTCTGTTTATCAGAAGAGGGGCAGAAAGCTGGGAAATAAACTGATACCCTTTGCACAATTTTTAGAAAAGTCACAGAGAATAAAGTTGTTTTAAAAATTCATGTTCTTGATGTTCTGCAAACTTAGAAAATACAGTGGTCAATTAGAGTACAGACTGTGGAATCCGTAAGAGGCACTGAGGATGAACTGTACTTCAACAGCATGCAAAGGAAGTGTCCCCATTCCCAGCTGAGTCGATGATATCAGAGATGAGGGGACAGAGAGGGACAGAAATAGGACACAACTAAAAATACTCTGCCTTTCATCTCATGACCTGAATTCAACAGTCAAGTCACAAAGGTACTACAAAATACCTCCAGTGACCTAATAGCTCCTGGGATTTCTCAATCAAATTCTCAAATCTTTTTATACCCACAATGCTTGACATGTAGTAAGTCAATAATATTTGTGTCAGAGACTTCTTCCCACAAACAGGGATATCTCATATACTACATATACTAATTCTGGATATGCCAGGGCTAATGACAAAGATCAGTACCTCTAACACTGACCTGAAAGGCCCCACTCATTAGGTCAATAAATGAACTGTCAGATGTAGAACACAATGGCAGCAGAAGCACAACTACTAATTTGTTGCTCTCAGGGGTTACTGGTTTCTGGACAGTTAATGCGTCTCCACTGAAGAAGAATCTGACGTTGTATGTAGGCTTAGCTCTGCGGGCCAGTCTCCAATCCCCCACGGCCAGCGGATCTACACAGGAGGGGAAATGGAATCTTTCCAATCTCCCAACTTCATCCCGTCTCTTAAGAGCTCTTTCAGGATCACAACCCCATCTCCAGCTGGATTCCATGGGCAGACACCCTGACACCTCTACAGCCTCATACCCCCACACTGGTACCTGAGAAAAGGGCTGCCCATCTCAATCCCCAAACTCATTTTAGGTCAAATTCCCCCTTTTGTTTCTGTTAAACATGACACAAGAAGCTCCTGGAAGAAGATTGGGACTTGGGCATCCAGGCGACTCTTGCCGCTTGGTGATCTTTTTGGTCGCATTGCTCATTTCCCAGTGCCCTCTGCTGTGCCCCAACCCAGCAGCCATTCCACACAGCCCCCCTCCCACGCCGCTCCGCAGCACGCACTCTCACCTCCCACTGCACAGGACATCGTGATGCAAGACTCAGGGTGGGCTATGGTGCTCTCCTTCTCCTTTGCCTCCTCCATCAAACAAAGCCTCCAACTCATGCTCTAATCTCATCACCTTCCACTCCCATGCGTCCCACTTGGCTGCGTAATTTCCTTTCTCCTGTGCCTTTAGTCCACACCTTCATAAATGCTAGGATCTTCCCTATTCTGGAAATGCCTTTGAATGACCTTGCAGTCGCTTGCTTCTGCCTGGTGGCTTACCTTATTTTTACCAACAAACATCTAGCTTTAGTGGCTACTATCTACCTATCTACCCTTGTATCATGTGTCATGTGGCTTCTAACCCTACTTCTCTGCAGAAGCTATTCTCCTAAAAAAGCACTTCCCATCACTGGTTCCAAACAGCAGCTTCCGCCCAGCCTGCTGCATCCCAGTGAGAAGTCCTCCTCCTTGGCCCTCCAGATCCTCTACCTTCTCCCTAACTGGCCCTCTCGCACGTACTGCCCGCTGTGGATGAGTGGCCCAGCGCTTCCTTGCATGGCTCTCAGCCATACCACCATCTGGTAAAGGAGGAAAGCCCATCTGTTCCCAGGACTGCCACTGCTTTTTCAGGGGCCAGTTCTCTCTACCACTCAACTCAACTGCCTCTCAAGAGGCTCCATTTCACCCAAACATGTTCTAATTCAGGGGTCACAAATTTCTTCTGGAAGGGAGCAGATAGAAAATTTTTGAGGCTTTGTAGGCCACACATGGTCTTTGTCACATATTCTTTGTTTTGGTTTATTTAAGAGGTAACCGCCCTTCTTAGCTCATGGGCCATATAAAAAAAGGCCTGCCACAGTGACCTCTCTCTAAAAGGCTCCCGACTTCTGCAGCCCTGTCCCTGGGTGCTGCGCCACATGTCACGCACTGCTGGACTAATCTTCCCGCCATCAGCAGGGCAGGACAGGACGGCTGGCCAGTTGCACTTGCCTGATTTTACATGAAATACTTGCTCAGAGAATCTGTAATTCCCACTTTTTCAACTAAATCAAACCTCTTATTAATAGTAATTTAGAATGAGTTATTAACAAAAAAACAATATTCAAAGCAATATACTTGGAATAATTAAAAAGCCAAGTTCAGCCCCTTTAAGCACCAGTCTCCTGAGAGGTCTATAAAGGTGAATGCTAACTTGTGAGATCAGTTCCTGCCAACTTGACCTCTAGAGTGCTCCCTGCCTGGTACGTCATGAGACTGCTGCTGCTGCTGGCTTTGCAGCTCCTGCTGCTTTAAGCTTGGGAAACGTTAGCCTAGCAGCAGAGGTGGTTCGATCATTAACGTGTGTTCCAAGGTGAGGCTGGTATATACTGGCCAGCTAACTGTGGAAGGAGAGCTGCACCTCAGTTCTTGTTCTACGTAAATTGTAAAACAGGTACTTGCCAGAGGGAAGGGGTTGGGGGATGGATGAAATAGGTGAAGGGGTGATAAAGATGGATGAAATTATAAAACAGTTAAGTCACAGGGATGAAAAGCACAGCATAGAGAATACACTCAAAAATATTGTAATATCTTTGTATGGTGACAGTTGGTAACTACAGTTACAGTGAGCATTTCATAATGCACAGAACAGCTGAATCACTATGTTGTACACCTAAAACCAATATAATACTACGTATCAACTGTATTTCAATTAAAAAAAAACAACAGAACTGTTGCTTAGCTTTCTCTTTACCTGATTTTGGAACAACCAAATATACTTTTATTTAGAACTGGGTGCCCTTTGGGTGCTTAAAACTCTAGTGCTTACGAATTGTTTGGGTTAAGTACCAGGGACTCAAGTTTGCCTGACAGGCTAATATATCAACCTCAGATCCTTTAGAAGCTACCAGCAGGGTTGTTAAGGAAACACCTAATTTCATGGACCAACATGCAGAGACTGATCTGAAAGTCAAGGGACTTGGCTTCCAGTCTGTTATGCAACCTGAGGTACACCCCTCATCTCTTGGGGCCTCAATTTCCTTGTTTAATAAAGGAAAAGAGTCAAACCAGAAGATATCTAAGGTCTCTGCCAAACCTAAACTTTAGTGACTCTAGGAATCATAGGCAACAACACAGAAAACCATAAATTTAAAGCTAAGTTTTGTATTTCCACCTGAAGCTCAGAGCACATCTTGGGGCCATCCTGGTTCCTCTGGCTAACGAATCCCTCCGCTCTGCCCCACTGCACTGTGTGCTTTTGAACAGGAACTGCTGCCCTGTTCTGCCTTGAATTAAAGTACAAGTCTAGATGCACAAGTCTAGTACTCCCCAGGAGCTGGAGAGCTCCTTGAGGGCCGGGATCAGGTCTTGCCCCCCTCTCCAGGTGCACTGCAGAGCGGTGTTCTACACCTATTCACTGGATTCATGGCTGAATCCTCGGGTAACTTTCCACAATCTCATATTCCAACTCTGCTCCAACTACACTGTCAGCTGTGCTTTTCTGCCATTTTCCACCTCTGTTCCTACAGGCTGTGCTCCATCTCGGTCCAAAGACACGCCAGCTCTGTGCCGTTCTCATACCTGGGCTCCCCACAGGTGTCACCCAGCCCTCTGCAACACCAAGTTTACCCATCCTTGAAGGCTCTGGTACTATTGTATCTCCTCCATAAATCTCCCAGATGGCTCCAGCCCTCACTGAATGGCACAGGATTTTCAGTGTAAAGAGTGGAGTTTCTGAATAAAGAGATCAATGCCGGGAGGACAGTAATGAAAGACAAAAAGGCAACAGATGTCGTAGGCGTTTAGGGGGCTGAAGGTGGCCATTGTTTCGGCACTTAATATGCCAGCATGGCAAAGAGAAGGAATGAACAGGGTCCACTAGGTGCAAGCATTGTGTATTTTCTTCTCAAAAACTGTTGGGGGCACATACTGTCACTTTCATTTTACAGAGAAGAAACTGAGGTGACAGAGGGCAACTCATGCAACGTCACTGCTGGCAGGCAGCCAAGTGAGGAAGTGAACTGGCCCACATGGGCACAGTAATACATGTGTATGTATGCTGCAAGCAAGACGCTGAACATGAGGTTGCCTCTGCAGCTCTTTCCTTCCCCTTCCTGCGCACCTGCCTCAGCAGGCAAGTTCTGGGTTCCCTGACCGCTGCGTGTCTGCTTGTCTCTGGCACACGACGGCTTCCTTTATCTAGAATGCTCCTGCTGCTCTAGGCACACAGCAACCCCCACTAGTTCTTCAGGGCCTGGCTCAGGCGCCCCTTCTAAGGGCTGCTGTCCCACCCGCAGCTAGGTCCCCTTTCGAGCATTCCCAGTGCCCCGGCATCTCTAGCTCAGGGGGCCACCCTGAGGTCTGACTGTCCTCTCACAGGTCTGTATCCCCACCAGACTGTTGGCTTATTCCTCTCAGGCCCCAGCCCCAGCACAGCACAAAGGGCAGCACGGAGTCAGGGCTGTGAACAAACAGGCGAATTTCTGATGTGAAGGGCAGCTTTAGAGTTTGGAACTCACAGGGGATGCTTGTGTCTTGTCAGGAGATCCTGAGGGGGGACGGGGGACCGAAACATTTGCTCTGCCCCACTTGGGTTGCTCCTGCACACGGCTCATTATAAAGGAAGAAAGAAAATCCCAGACCCCACTCACCTCTCACTCACAGTAAGGTTCTGCTGCTTTAAAAAGCCCAGGAAAGTGTTGAGGACCCAGTTAGTCACTTTTTTTGGCTCTGCCCTAGTTTCTTTTATCACATTTTGGAAGAACTCCAGTAGGCCAACTTCATTCTGTAAAAAAAAAAAAATTATATGAAGTTCACAAAAAGTGAAAGATCAGCATTCTGAAGGCAAAGCTGAGACTGTCACCATCTGCCACCTCTGAGACATCTATTCGTGCTTTCCTCAACATGGAGGTATCACGAGAAAATTCTGATCTCTCTCAGTAAAGAGCCAAGTGCTCTACTGCTACTACCATCACTCTGCACATTTGTACAGCATTTTCTCAGAAGAAGGAGAACGTTCCAGAGTGCTCTGAGTGGCCCAGAGCACGGTCCCCGCCAACTTGCTTGCCCTGCCGGCGTCAGCCCTGTGTGCCCGACAGCCTTCATGCTTGGGCTCGTGAGGCTTAGCCTGAGCCTGCTCCCTTTCCTCTCCAAGCCCGTCCTCTGCTGAGGTCCTAGTGATCGCTAGAACAGAACGTAGGAAGAGAAGCAAACTAAAAAGAAACAGAATATTCTACAAAGTGCATCGTAACTGAATTCTCTTTCACATCATTCCAAGAGGTGACAGAAATGGTTTCAAATGCTTTCAAAATGAGGAAAAACATGGGTCCATGTGACCCAATTAGGCCACTTAATTGGTGGAGGGGGCAGTGGTTTCCAGGCCTCCTGAAATGAGCAATGCACGCTGACCTTGCTCCCTCTCGGGCCCTGTGAAAATGAGCTGGGTTGGCTGGTCAGAGACGTGTTTGGAGAAGACTCTCCTGTTTCTCACCCTCTGGACTGATGGCTCCGTGACTCAGGGGCCATGCTCTTCTGTTCCCCTGTAACTAGAGGTCAGTCAGTGCTGGGACTTGACAGCTGCTTGGTAACTAACAGTGGATGAAATCAATGTCTCCTATCATCCTATCATCAAGTGTATTTATTTAAAATCACATGTGAACCCTCATTCTTTATCATACTATGTTCACCTTTAAATACCATAGTTGCTACAATCATGCACAGGAGTAACCTCAAGGCATTGATCAAGTTGCACACTGTGGCCGACTGCCAGCTCAGACAGATATGGCAGAATCAAGAAATTTGGCTAAATCCACTTTTTGTTTTTCAGTAGGAAAAATAAAATCATGTTCCATTCACAGAGGAGAGGATGGAGTTTTCAAATGCAGAGGGAACACATGTTAAGCAATATATTTTCCCTAACTGCTACAATTCAAATCAAACCATACTTTCCTTGAAATATTCCTTTTTAACTTTATACTATACCTCACATTGCCTTCAGAGAACCTTCATTAACCAAAAGAACTTTCTGGGAAAATAAGATGCTGGGTAGAAGCATGATGTACTAAAAAAGTGCTCTGAAAGCTAAGCTTGTAATATACACACAGGCACGCAGTTGCTAAAACAGAAATTTCATCATAAAAAAAATCTACATGCCCTTTGTAACAGATAAACTCTCTGGTGACACGCCTACTGAATAATCCCATAATCATCTCCTGAATCTCTTTTCAAGCCAAGGCTATTATTCTGCTCATGCTAAACCAGGGCAAAGGCCACATTAGCAGCCAGAGCTTGACTACAGATAAAGGCAAATGCAGGCAGCACGAAGAGGAAGTTCTGTCTAACTTACAGAAAAGTGTTCAAACTTCTACAATGGTACACAAACCACTGGGGAAGTAGAAACCCACCTTCCGGCCCAAATCAGACAAGCAGAACTCCCTTTGTTCAAACCCAGACAGGCTTGCCTGTTGGTGAAAAGAGCTGTCAGGAGAACTCTGCTTCGCCAAGGGAAGGTTTTCTAAATCCACCTAGAAATACAGCTTGGCTGTATTTCCCAGGCTTGGCTGAGTTGCTGGGATGTGATGTACATTCCTCTACTCTTGGGTGTTTTGTTTATTGGATGGATAACATGGCAAGTCAGATTTCTGTTTGTCTTTTTGTGTCACTGCTGTGAGGAAGACTCTCTGACTCTCTGAGCTAGAAGTGTACTTCACTGGGGGATACATGGTTTCGGTACACCATCTGAAGCAGACATGGGAATCTGCAACTGTGCTGGGGTGAGCTACAGGCAGCGCAGCTGAAAGAGGCTGAGCGGCCGCCGCCCAGAGAGCGATGATCAGTAAGTCACACCGGAGCTGTGTGCTCTGGCTCTTCAGATCAGAGGCCTGCTTTTCAGGAAAAAACCACTTAGCATTCTCGGTAAGGTCTTCTCAGTTTTTCTGTGAGACCGGCGAATGCTAATAAGCTCAGCATGGATCTCAGAAGCCCCTGGTGAACACGGCAGTGCAGCCATCTGGTTTTCTCAGAAAAACAGCAGACCAGTAATTCCCTTACACAAAAGCCTTATTGAGAACAGCGCAGAAAGGCCACTGCATTAGGGAACCGTTCACGTCCTTCTCGAAGGCAACAAGCACGCGTCTGACACAGCTCTCCTCCAGCCTAGGTCAGAGATGGACCTTCGGTGGCACAGTGCACCAAGTCTCCCCGCCACCTGTTCCTTCAGAGGTAGTTAAAGCAGCAGAAACAACTGGACCCGTCTTTTGGAAAATAACCAGGCAGTCTTTACAGCTCTGCAACTGGGAAGCCTCCTTTTCACATTTCAATCAAATTTCCCCCAGAGCATTCAATTACACCCGGAGTCGATGCCAGCTCAGCCTCTCACATGAACAGGAACCTCCACGGCTGGTGGAGCTGTCAGCTGGTCAAGGCCGGTGTGAGGCAAGGCAGGGATCACCTCACCTCCACTGCCTGCTCTGGAAGGAACCCCGACTTTCCCCCCCATCGGGCCCTGGAAGCGATGTGCTCCAAAGCCATGGTTGGGTTCTACTTTCAGAGAGGATAAAATGTCAGAAGACTACCCAGTTGGAATAGGGTGAAGGCTGACTTCTCGGCTACCATTCCTTTTCTAAGTCCCACTGGCTGTGAACCTGATGACAGGGCAGAAATTAGCTGGACTACATTCAGAAGTAGAATGAAACCTGAGAGAGGCAGCTGTCCAGTGGCAGCCTCGGAGAGGAAAACGGCCACAAGAGCAAGGTGGAGAATAGCTGGTCAGGGGCAGGGGGTGACCAGGCCGCCATCGGAACCCTGCATTAGCAATCTGGGGCCAGTTAAAAGGCTCTCAAGGACATTTCCAGAATACCTGCTGGCCATGGAGCTCAGCAGCAGCCCTGGGGGAAGCTGTAAGAGGAAGAATAACACATTTTAACAGCAATAAAGTAGGTGCCAGGTGCTGTTCAAAGTGCTTTCTCTACATTAACTCATGATTTAATTCCAACAACAGCCGTATGAGGTGGGTATTAAACTTTCCTTTACAGACGGGGACATGGGAGGCACTAGAGCAAGGAAGCTCTAGTACAGCTGGGATTCGAACCTTTGTGGTCTGTGCTCTTAGCCTCCAGGCTACACTGCCTCTGATGAAGGAAATGTCACATCCCTGCCTTCCTGGGGATTGAGGCTGAGCACCTTCCAGTGCCAGGCACAATGTGAAGCAACTACCTCATCAAAAGAATAAATTTTCCCACTACTTTCATTATTTTATTTGATAACTGCGAGCTGTTCAAAGGTTCTTAACAAATATTAAAAATGTTGCAACGGCCCTCAGCAATTAGCTTAGAAATTAGGACAAAATAGCAAGCTCTTGTTCTGCCCCTACCGATGTTCACCTAGGCTACCTGGCACCCTCTGCTATGGCCTGACACATACCTCTTCCCAGATCAGGGAGGCGGACAGCAGCTCACCCCTGCCCTGTGCCATACAGAGCTTTCAGGGGACAGGAGGGTGGCAAGACACCCCCTCCACACCCTGTCCTCAGAGAAGTCAGAGCGAGTATGCCCAAGCCATGACACTGCTCAATTAGGAAGTGTCTTCTGATGTTACAAAATAAACCCCATTATTGTTCACAGTATGGCATTAAGCATACTGTATTTTATTGCATTCTAACTCTAGAATATGGGTAACTCATGTGCAGGCTTATACCTCAACTGACCAGTTTATACTTAGTCAGGCC